TGCACAGACTGCCTGCATGATTTTCTTTTGTCACACTTTCTTTCTGTGTTTGTGTCTTTTCGTTGCTTTATTCCTTATTTTGATGGGCTCTTCCCGTGGCAGGATGGCAGAGACTCTCGTGTAAGTGAATCGTGATCAAACCTCCTGGCACGCGCAGTCCTGTGTCCTGATCCCTGTCCTGATTTGCTTTATTTCATATTTGTTCGAGTGCCTTATTTAAGTTATTCACCCGAGTGTTAGCTTGCTGTCCTAATTCCCTCCTTGGATGTCCATCAGGTTTGTGATGTAATCTGTTTCTAAAAGCTTTTAAATTGTGTCGCTCTGCAGGAAGTGTGCCCTGTGTGGTCAAACCAAAACCTGCAAGCACAGAATCAAGTTTGGCGACTCCAGCAGCTATTATTATGTGTCTCCATTCTGCCGCTATCGAGTGAGTATATTTTATTGGCCAGCTTCTTATCAGATACTATTTCTTAAACACATCTAGCTGGTTTTTAGTGTTGGGGCACGCTACTTAAAAGTAATTAGTTACTTTTTACAAATAGTTACTGAGTTAGTAACTGAATTGCGTCATAATAAATGTAACTAATTACCAGGAAAAGTAACTATTGCGTTACTGTTTAATAAAAAAAATGTAACTAAATATTATAAGCTGTATGTTGAATAAAATTGGACACTAAATTATATTAATTATTATTGTAAAACATTCTATGTTATATTAATGTTGCTGTGGGACAAAGTGAGAGACACATTTCAAATGTAATGTTTGACATTTAATGAAATATACAGAAACCTGTTTAACAGAGTACCCGCGGGGTCTTAAAAGCGGTGAAAAAGTCATAAATATGATAAGCTCAAATTAAGGCCTTGAATTTGGGATACAAAGTCTTGGATTTTGTTACAAATGTCTTACTTTATTTATGTATTGTTGCCTTTCCTAGGATTAAAGTTCACACCATAACAAAATTAATGTAGGCTAATTAAAAAGCTCATGCAGCGTAGCGTTGAGTGCATCTCGCGCTCCACGTCACAGCAGAACGTGCGTCGCCGTAGGTTACAATGGCGAGGAAGGCGAGCGCGAGTATTTACAACGCTCCAACTACTTAAAGACACAGAAACTGTGCTCAATTTCACCAGTTTATATTATGGAAATGTGATTGAAAAGCACTTCATCTAAAAAATACTGACTTGATTGACTCGTTTTGCTACTAATGATTATTTTCATCTGTTAGAACGACACTAAACTAGTTTTAGTTGCTTTAATGCAGAGGCTCCGAAAATGAAATATCACCTGCGCTTTTAGCCAGTCATCATCAGTTATGTGGTTGTCCCACCCCTACACACACATGCCAATCATCATCAGTTATGTGGTTGTCCCAGCCCTACACACACATGCCAGTCATCATCAGTTATGTGGTTGTCCCACCCCTACACACACATGCCAATCATCATCAGTTATGTGGTTGTCCCAGCCCTACACACACATGCCAATCATCATCAGTTATGTGGTTGTCTTACCCCTACACACACATGCCAATCATCATCAGTTATGTGGTTGTCTTACCCCTACATACACATGCCAATCATCATCAGTTATGTGGTTGTCTAAACCCTACACACACATGCCAATCATCATCAGTTATGTGGTTGTCCCACCCCTACACACATGCCAATCATCATCAGTTATGTGGTTGTCTTACCCCTACATACACATGCCAATCATCATCAGTTATGTGGTTGTCTTACCCTTACATACACATGCCAATCATCATCAGTTATGTGGTTGTCCCAGCCCTACACACACACATGCCAATCATCATCAGTTATGTGGTTGTCCCAGCCCTACACACACACATGCCAATCATCATCAGTTATGTGGTTGTCTTACCCCTACACACACATGCCAATCATCATCAGTTATGTGGTTGTCCCAGCCCTACACACACATGCCAATCATCATCAGTTATGTGGTTGTCTAACCCCTACACACACATGCCAATCATCATCAGTTATGTGGTTGTCCCAGCCCTACACACACATGCCAATCATCATCAGTTATGTGGTTGTCTAACCCCTACACACACATGCCAATCATCATCAGTTATGTGGTTATCCCACCCCTACATACACATGCCAATCATCATCAGTTATGTGGTTGTCTCACCCCTACACACACATGCCAATCATCATCAGTTATGTGGTTGTCTCACCCCTACACACACATGCCAATCATCATCAGTTATGTGGTTGTCCCAGCCCTACACACACATGCCAATCATCATCAGTTATGTGGTTGTCCCAGCCCTACACACACATGCCAATCATCATCAGTTATGTGGTTGTCCCAGCCCTACACACACATGCCAATCATCATCAGTTATGTGGTTGTCTAACCCCTACACACACATGCCAATCATCATCAGTTATGTGGTTGTCCCAGCCCTACACACACATGCCAATAATCATCAGTTATGTGGTTGTCTAACCCCTACACACACATGCCAATCATCATCAGTTATGTGGTTGTCCCACCCCTACATACACATGCCAATCATCATCATTTATGTGGTTGTCTAACCCCTACACACACATGCCAATCATCATCAGTTATGTGGTTGTCCCACCCCTACATACACATGCCAATCATCATCATTTATGTGGTTGTCTCACCCCTACACACACATGCCAATCATCATCATTTATGTGGTTGTCTCACCCCTACACACACATGCCAATCATCATCAGTTATGTGGTTGTCTTAACCCTACATACACATGCCAATCATCATCAGTTATGTGGTTGTCTTACCCCTACATACACATGCCAATCATCATCAGTTATGTGGTTGTCTCACCCCTACACACACATGCCAATCATCATCAGTTATGTGGTTGTCTTAACCCTACATACACATGCCAATCATCATCAGTTATGTGGTTGTCTAACCCCTACATACACATGCCAATCATCATCAGTTATGTGGTTGTCTTACCCCTACATACACATGCCAATTATCATCCTTTTATGTGGTTGTCTCACCCCTACACACACATGCCAATCATCATCAGTTAAGTGGTTGTCCCACCCCTACACACACATGCCAATCATCATCAGTTATGTGGTTGTCCCACCCCTACACACACATGCCAATCATCATCAGTTATGTGGTTGTCCCACCCCTACACACACATGCCAATCATCATCAGTTATGTGGTTATCCCACCCCTACATACACATGCCAATCATCATCAGTTATGTGGTTGTCTCACCCCTACACACACATGCCAATCATCATCAGTTATGTGGTTGTCTCACCCCTACACACACATGCCAATCATCATCAGTTATGTGGTTGTCCCAGCCCTACACACACATGCCAATCATCATCAGTTATGTGGTTGTCCCAGCCCTACACACACATGCCAATCATCATCAGTTATGTGGTTGTCCCAGCCCTACACACACATGCCAATCATCATCAGTTATGTGGTTGTCTAACCCCTACACACACATGCCAATCATCATCAGTTATGTGGTTGTCCCAGCCCTACACACACATGCCAATAATCATCAGTTATGTGGTTGTCTAACCCCTACATACACATGCCAATCATCATCAGTTATGTGGTTGTCCCACCCCTACATACACATGCCAATCATCATCATTTATGTGGTTGTCTAACCCCTACACACACATGCCAATCATCATCAGTTATGTGGTTGTCCCACCCCTACATACACATGCCAATCATCATCATTTATGTGGTTGTCTCACCCCTACACACACATGCCAATCATCATCATTTATGTGGTTGTCTCACCCCTACACACACATGCCAATCATCATCATTTATGTGGTTGTCTCACCCCTACACACACATGCCAATCATCATCAGTTATGTGGTTGTCTTAACCCTACATACACATGCCAATCATCATCAGTTATGTGGTTGTCTTACCCCTACATACACATGCCAATCATCATCAGTTATGTGGTTGTCTCACCCCTACACACACATGCCAATCATCATCAGTTATGTGGTTGTCTTAACCCTACATACACATGCCAATCATCATCAGTTATGTGGTTGTCTAACCCCTACATACACATGCCAATCATCATCAGTTATGTGGTTGTCTTACCCCTACATACACATGCCAATTATCATCCTTTTATGTGGTTGTCTCACCCCTACACACACATGCCAATCATCATCAGTTAAGTGGTTGTCCCACCCCTACACACACATGCCAATCATCATCAGTTATGTGGTTGTCCCACCCCTACACACACATGCCAATCATCATCAGTTATGTGGTTGTCCCACCCCTACACACACATGCCAATCATCATCAGTTATGCGTCCTGTTAGAGTCCCATGAAATCACGTCACTGAGCTCAATTGCTTATTATATATAAATTATACAATGCTGCATTTTATTGTCAGTAACAGGTAACTGCGTTGTAACAGGAAAACAGTAATTTATTTAATTATTTGTTAGTGAAAAAAGAAATTCCGTTATTAATGCTGTTTATTTATATTGCCACTATGCCCTACACTGGTGTTTTATTATTTTTACGCTTCATACTTGTTATTTTCTTCAATGATTTGTATACTCAGAGCACTTTGATAGATGATGGAAAAATTATTTATTTATTAAAACCGTGTGTAATGTATTTATTGTAATTTAATTAATTCATTCATTAATTTATTAATTATTATCCCTTCTTGAAATATGAAGTTGTTATTGAAGTTATTACTATGTAGTGTTTTTGTCTATATCGATCTTGCCATGAAATAGCCGTGAGTTGCTTATGTGGCAATAAATAAACAAACAAATGACAAAAACTTTAAAAAAAACTCATACAAAATGACTTTTGTGCTCAAGTCAAATAGGTTTTGAAGAAGTAAAGAGTGAATGTTGAATTTTTGGGTGCACTGGTGTAACATATCACTCCCAACGGTGCTAACAGAAATGTTTTTACACTCAGGTTTTGGGTTAATGTTGATCCTTATGTAGCAATCATTGCACCCGCATGACTCCATTATGCTTGACTTGTTTACTATTGGTTGCTGGGTTAGCAATACTACAGTCAGCCACTCTAACAACTTGAAGGAAATTCACCCAATTCACATTTGGGGTTTATTTGTCGTATTTTCTTGTGAATTTTTGGAAAAGATTTGCTTCATGACTATCAACAGAATTAAATAGTTTATTTTCTACACATGCTCAGGTTTTTATTTCTTCATCTTTTTTTATTGCTTCTACTTTAGTGTTATTGTCACGTGTTGGAATATCAAGCCAATTCCACGCGTGTTCAATAAGAAAAGGTCTAAAGAGAGTGTCTTCTTCAATGCCAAAAATATTAGTAATTTATTAGATACAAATGAATAATTCGATGACAGAGCTCTGTTACGTTACCCCAATGCAATACAAGAATTACATTCAAGAGGTTCGCAACTCACATTCATTTCCCTGACTCCAGCATATATACACAACTGATATTAACAGGTGGAGTTTGGTGTAACGTCCCTTATCAGTCATTCTGCAGTCTTTTGGCTCTTGTACCCCCAGACATACTTCCTCTTTCTGCCACCCTTCTCTGCATACCAGAACTGAACACTTACCTGCATCTTTAATATATTTCACAACTTCTACAAGCATCATGACAACTTGTGACATGTCTAGACTTTGTATTAAACAAAGGCCCCCACACTTATTCTTATTCTGATTTTTCCACTTGTCAGCATGTTCCTTAAAAAAGTATGCAGCACAGTAAAAAAGTGGTCAAGATGTGTTATAGTACAATAGAAAAGATTGATTAATCTGTTGTTAGTCTAAGCATTTTCTAAAAAATAAAAACACAAAAGTAATATAAATAAATACACGTCATACAACACACATCATTCTAATGTGTTCACTGAGACATAACAGGCTTTTCTTTTCTACAGATCACGTCGGTCTGCAACTTCTTCACCTACATCCGTTACATTCTCCAAGGACTCGTCAAACAGCAGGATGGTAAGCTAATGAATCATCTCATTGTATCACTTTTCAAAACTACACTTCGACATCCAAACTTGAAGCCGTTTTCCATATGGTTCATACTTGCCACTTTTACATCACTAAACTATGTCACACTAAATGCCTTTTTAAATATACGGATTTATAAATGCACTTTTAATGCAAGATTATTTAATAAACCCTGAGACATTTCTGCCTCTCCATTCTAACTATGTTCATCTTAAAGTTTAAATAAATGTATTCCCAGTGGTTTCAACGCATTTTATAAAGCAACATGAATGCATTACCGATTCACATTGACATGCATGTGGGTGATTCTCGATTTGTGAGTACACTTTGTGTCTTTAATGGCACAGCTTTAAAAATGACATTAAGTTACAAGTTATATTAAGTTACCTTTAAGGCAAGTCATTTCACTCGGCAGCCATCTTTGAAACGCCTCTCAGGCAGAATGCTTGGGCATTCTGTCTGAATGGGGAAACATCAAATTCCCCAAAACTGTTAGCCGAGCGTACGATTACATTACATATTTGGAATCACCTATAAAATTAAACAACATCTGCTTCATCCCAGCTAAAAAATCCAGCTTAAACCAGCCTAGGATGGTTGGCTGGTTTAGCTGGTCGACCAGCCTGGTTTTAGAGGGGTTTTCCAGGCTGGTTTCCAGCCTGGTCTTAGCTTGACAGGCTGGGAGATGACCAGCTAAAACCAGCTTTACCAGCCTAGCCAGGCTGGGAGCCCAGCCAAAACCAGCTATGTCCAGCTCTTAAACCAGGATGGTCAAGCTGGTTTTAAATGGTTTTAGCTGGTCACTTTCCAGTCTGACCAGCTAAGACCAGGCTGGAAATGGCCGGAAACCAGCCTGGACGTGGCCAAAACCTCTTTAAAACCAGGCTGGTCTACCAGCTAAAACCAGCCAAGCATCCTAGGCTGGTTTAAGCTGGATTAAGCTGGATTTTTCAGCATGGATAGGTTTCATTTCTAAATGTCCGAATCAAATACAATGAGCATTTTTTTCTGGTTGCACTAGCTAATGCACATGCGCATTCGAAATGAAAGCGATCACAACACCAACCTCATTTACGGCAGTTCTACGCATTATCATCCTGTGGATAAGGATCGTCTGATCGCGCTGCTCCTCTGAAGTAATTCCCAACCTGTTCTCGATGGCGAATCTCCTCCAGAAATGACAGCGACTCTTTCTTTACATGTTTGTTGCCGTTTGAGCAGCAGCTGCTGTCATGTGATGTGCGTTTGACAGGACGGACTGTACCTCGCGTTCGTTTCAAACAGATTACCAAACCAGAAATCTTTTGTTTCCAAGTGATTCCAGCGTGTTTGTTGACCACAAAATCTGTCGTAAAAGCACACGTCTAGTCCTAGCTTCTCCTCCGGAGAAACGTCAGACTATAGCGATAATCGGTAATTGGCTTCTGTACTAGAAGGCGGGGCTTCATTCGCCATATTGACGATACACTTTTCTCCATTCAAAACAATACAAGTGACATGTATTGTGTATTCGATAGTCTATTCTTTGATATAACATAGGCCTCGTGGTTAGAACATTTCTCGTGGTTTGAATGTGACAACGTTGTTAAAAAGTAAAATCATAGTCATTTTCTCTCAAGAAGTAGTTATGCTATGTTCACACCAGACGCGGAACGCGCGAAAAAAATCGCGCTATTCGTGCGTAAATAGCCACGTGAACATTTGAGATTACTCGCTTCATTCGTGCGTCAAACCCCGCTTCATTCGCATGTCAAATTCACTTCAGAACAGACGTGGATTCGCGTGATGGGCAGGGCTTCTGTCTGCCCGGTGACTGTAGCTTCGATGCTAAATGGCTAACATGGATTTTATGAAGAAAATAACAGTGTTTATGTGCTTTATGAAGGCTGAAAAACAGCGTCCATACGTTTAGGACCGTGTCTGAGTCCACTACATCCTTTCAGAGGTGCATCCAGCTGTGTGAGCTCATAAACTCCTCCAGAAACTGAACCTGGGTCACGGAGGCTTTCAACGGTGCTTCTGTCTGAGCCAAGCCCAGTTTCGCGTGGAGGTTTTCCCCGGGGACACCATCAACAGGTTCTACGTCACAATCACGCCCCCACAAGAGCAAGCTTCTGATTTGTTAACGCGCCGCGAATGTCCGCTAAAGTTCAGATTTTCGAACTCGAGAGATTCGCGCGAAACGCTCGTTAAGCGCGTCAAACGAGCAAAGCGCTCAATTTGCCCCGCGCGTCTTGCACTATTCGCACCGCGCAATTCACATCATTCGTGTCGCGTGTATCGCGCCGCAGGATGACTATTCGTGCGTTTGCATTGACTTAACATGTAAATCACTCGCGCTTGACGCGCGTTCCGCGTCTGGTGTGAACGCTGCATTACTCCACCCCATTTATAGCATCATTGTGGAGGTTTTATGTTTTAACCAACGTGGTTCGGTTTCGGGGAAACACTCATCACTACATCATTAATTTCCCGAACGATGCATCGTAGTGTGATAGTTTAGACATGAGTTATGTCGGGAAACGCACCCCAGAATAGCTCAGAGGCAGGTAAAAATACTTACACTCCACCACTGTATAACCACACTTTAAAAACTTTGCAGTTATTTGAGTGGTGGATGTAAAATGCTAAAGCAGATGCCAGCAGGGGGCGCCTAACCTGCGATCTGTGTGGGTCCTAATGCCCCAGTATAGTGGCAGGGATGCTATTTTGCTCAGTGAGCGCCGTCTTTTGGATGAGACGTTAAACCGAGGTCCCGACTCTCTGTGGTCGTTAAAAATCCCATGATGTCCTTCGAAAAGAGTAAGGGTTTAACCCCGGCATCCTGTCCAAATCTGCCCACTGGCCTCTGTCCATCATGGCCTCCTAACCATCCCCATATTCCAATTGGCTTCATCACTGTCTCCTCTCCACCAATCACCTGGTGTGTGGTGTGCGGTCTGGCGCAAAATGGCTGCCGTCGCGTCATCCAGGTGGATGCTGCACACTGGTGGTGGATGAGGAGATCCCCCCCCCCCATTGTGTAAAGCGCTTTGAGTGCCCAGAAAAGCGCTATATAAATGTAAGGAATTATTATTATTATTAGTAGTTCTCATGAAGGTTTCCCCTCTAACATTCACAACGCTGTGTTTTTCCAAGCAGAGCAGATGTTCTGGGAGGTCCTGCAGCTACGGAAGGAGATGTCCAACGCCAAGCTGGGCTTCTACAAAGATGAGCTGTGAACAGAGCCGTCACAGATGCGTGAACGCCACCGCCTGATCCCCGGCCGCTCTTTGACCGTCCTGTCAGAGCGGCTTCACAGGGACCACCACACCTTATTATATTCATTGATGATGAAGGACGAGAAGAAGACACTAAAGCATGAACTGTAGCCGGAGGTTGCGTTCGGTCGGATGAAACACTCAAATAAAGGCTCCTCAAGCTCTGTTAGATTGATTTGTTCAGTGCTGTAGCTAGCTGTATGCTGTTGTGCCGTTGTGTTTTGTGTATCTGGAATGTTCTGTTTGTACCACCATGTGTATTTTTCCTCCTCAGACTCGTCTAGCCTCCTTCATTTTGAGTTTAGTGCCTTTCTGGAAGCCTGAATAAAGTTCTGAACCTCCAGAGGAGAATGAGCGGTGGTGTTTGTCCGGGTGAAGCTAGGCGTGTGAAGGTACATCTCAAAGATTAGGAAAATCTCTTTGTTTTTGTTTTTTTTAGGAGCTTTGTGGAACTGATTTCCGACAATTATCTACAAAACATAAAACAGTTAAGGCTTAGATTTAAGATCATTTATTGATCATGATAGATTTCAGACCATACAATTCCATGAGTGCGGTTTATTTATAAACTAATTTCGAGAGGATCATGTGCTTATGATTGAACACAGCTGGTACCGCATCAGCTCCGTATAGTGCACCAATCAGATGAATACTGACACACTATAAATTACCAGAGCTTTCTACTCCAGTCGTCTTCGTCTTTAAGAATACGCCCTTCCACCCCTACTCTGATAGGGCGGCACTGCGGCCCAGCGGTTAGCACTGTTGCCTCAGCAAGAACGCCGCAGGTTCGGCCCCTCTACGAGGCTGGTCAGCGTTTCTGTGCAGAGTTCGTATGTTCTCTGTTTGCGTGAGTTTTTCCCGACTTTCTCCCATCGTTTTAAGACATACACCAGAAGAAAATTGACTACTTTAAAATAGCATCCTAAGACAACTCCTAGTCAGATACATCTCAGCATGTTCACAAGCAGGGGAGTTCTCGAGACTCAAACTCTCCTCTCGCCCTTCAAACGGGAGGGAGCCCCGGGCTCAAGGATATTCAGAGCTCAGGGCTCATTGATGGAAGTAAAACATTCCCAAATTAAAGGACCTTTATACATAATTCTGCTTAATTGTCTACAAAAAGGAATTGCGATTAGCAATATAATAATTAATATTACTTGAAGTGTTAAAGAACCAGTGGAATGTTTAAATGGAAAGAGTAGAAAATAGAATAGAGAGCGTTCGTAATAGGAGTGTTGACAAATAAAGGCTTGAGAATGTCCAGTGCTGTATCTGAAATTGCTCCCTTTACCATTATTCATTAGCACTGAGTGCAGAGGATGGGATGCCGTCTTATTTGTGCACATCACATTAGATAGTAGTATACAAAGTCTACTTTGTAACACCACAAGATGTTACACTGAGGGGGTTCACAGAATTTTATTCCACACATACTGAAATTAAAATAAACTCCACAAGCCTGTTTTCCCCCTTTTTCTTCTTGTTTAATTTCTCTACATGTGTATACAGTATATAGTCCACACAAACAAAAGTAATCAATATCCAAAACCAAGCAGTCGTTAAATGTAAACAGTCTGTGTAAATGATATAGATGGTTGGGTGAAGGTTGCGTAGATGGATTTGAGTGTGATGCAGTAATATCCACTTCCTCACACTGGGAAAACGGTAGTACGATGAGGTATTTAAGAGTCACTGACCGTCATTCCAAGTGTACGCATATAGTTCACTCGCCAATGAGAAGCATGAAGAATGTTGAAACCAAATCATTGCAGTCCATTGAAAGTACCAACAAACACCTCATCTGAACATCTCTTGGACAACAGGTCCTGTCTACATAAGAAATAAACATAGGGCAAATCACAACTAAATATTGAAAATACTTTTCACGCTTAAAACGTATTCAATACTCACATTCGAGCAGCAACAATAATGTTCTCAAAACAATCAGAACCGGAGTGGGTCGGTAGCCTAAGTTTACCATGTGGTTCCCTCTCAATGACTGTAAAAAATATGGACGACGCGACAGCCCCTTTTCCCATTGAACGCCTTGAGGGCAAAACGCCTGCTTGACGGGCTGAAACTGTCTCAAAAGACTGCTGAAATTGGAGCCTTGACATGCGCAGAAGGACTGTCTGATGGAGCCAGAGGAGGAGCCGCGAAAATGAGCGGAGTCGAGCTTCCAACCAAACGCTTTATGTAAAATCAACCACGCCCCCAAAACTTCTCAGCATGCGTTTGATGTCATATCAACACAAATGGATGTAATAACGTTAACAAATATGAGGGTTTTATATATTCAATCGCGCCAGCTCCGGGCCGCAGCACATAACATACTCGCGGCGTCGCGGGCTGATTCCGGCTCGCATGCGGCAGCGCCGGCTCGCTCGGCCGCCGCATCTGGCTCGATTGACTGGGGCTAGAATCGGGCAGTGAGTCCAGGCATCCGGAGTAGGTCCAGCAGAGGTAGTCAGTCTGAGCTCTGAGGGGTAAATCTCCGGCAGGCGAGAATCTAGCCGGAACTGGCCCGAGTGTGTTTTGCTATCTGGGTGGTTAGGCGTGTATCAGCAAACTAATAAAGCCCGAAAAAAAGCCCTGACCTCAGCGAATAAACAGTGTTCCACCAGGATCATGTATGTCAGAAACTGTAGTTTACTGCTGAACTCATTTTGTCATGGTAAAATAACACAGAAATCGAATAATAACACTTCAGTCTCCTGCCGAAGCTCAGACGCGCTGAGAAACTGTCAATCACAGCTGTCAATCACGATGACACGCCCAGCATTAAATTACTGCTAAAAACAAACTGTTTACAAAAATGAAGATCTGCACCTATTTCAGCACAATAACCAGTGCCTTAATCGACCAGAACCATCTTTCGGGACATTTTATTGCAAGTGTAATAATTTTTTTTAATTTGGGCTCAAGTCTCCTTCATTAACACGGAGGAGGCGGGCTTTATGACTTGTACTGCAGCCAGCCCCCAGGGGGCGATCTAACGGCCGAGACCTTCGCTCAAACGCAGGCTTGCGGCAGGCTTGTTCCCTCTACCAAACACGACTCACTTGCTCTATGGTGAGCTGGAATATATCCAGTTCTCACTCCCCTCTAGTGCAACCTAGTGGCCTGTAGTAATATTGCAACCAGTGCTTCTCACATCACAAGAAACTAAAACAACAATTAAAGCATGTAACGTTTGTTCGTTACAACTTTGATTAAATAAAATGTTTTGTTTTTTTTAAACTTACACCAATAGGATTCCGTTCCCAGTGATGGGTTGCGGCTGGAAGGGCATCCGCAGAGTTAAACATGTGCTGGATAAGTTGGCGGTTCAGGCGACCCCAGATTAATAAAAGTACTAAGCCAAAAAGAAAATGAACGAATGAAGAGGATTCCCAGTAGATGCCATCTTGTGGCCAGACGTGTAATTTCATTTTTCACAGTGCATTATTGCTGTTCTCTAGCTGGTGAGTGCACATGGGTTGTGCATTGATTATTGTGAAATGGATTGAGTGCACTTCAAAACATTCACTATGGTTTCAGACACCATCAGAAATGGCTGCTTTGTCAAATTGTGCTCTATTTAAGGGTAACACATGACGTCACACGGGTCCCCGGTTGCAAAAAAAGGACAGGCTGCAATGGGAAAGATGTCGTGTTGTGCGGTAGGATGCCGAATTCGAGTCCAAAAATAGAAAACGTAACTTTTACCATACACCACACACTGCTTTAATGCCGACTGCAGACGTCTTCGGCTCAATGGGAGCTGAATGAAGTGAGGAGCTAATTAGAAATACTGAACTCTGCAGTTCTCATGTCATATCAGGTCAGTTCACGCTATGCTGAATCAGACACATCACTCGTTTTTGATTGCAGAAATGATTCCAGCAAAAACAGTTACATATGGTGAATTAAACTGCGGACGCTGAATGCTAAGAATGAAACGTGAAAGTTACGTTTATTAAAGTAAAGTTGGTTTTATATTCACACATTCATTCCGTGACAACTTGTGACAAACTCACTATATTGTTTACCACTGCACTTTGAATATTCGGTCTGAAATAACCTGCAAATGTGACTTGAAAACAACATTAACACTATTTATTTGACTGTGAACATGTTGTACTTTGATAGTCATTGGCTGCTAATAAGATTTCGCTATTTAGAGTTTGCAAATAATGCTTTCATGAAATTATATTGTTAAGGAGAACGTCTGAATGTGCGAATATAAAACCGACTTTACCTCGTTCACATATCCTGCCGTACAGGTGCAGTTCGCTGTCAGAATGCAGTCGTTTTGCATGTTGGGTTAGTTAATTATCCAGGCCTTAGCTTGTATAACGTTAACTCCGTCTTCTTTCCTTGTCTTTGGCTAAGCAGAATCTCGGTTTTTAGCTCTACATAGTGTTGAATCTGGTCATCATGGAGCATTATTTCTTGCACATGACCACACAAAACATCATTGTTGGCATCCAAAGACTTGTAGACCTTTAACTTCTCTCTTGTAAAATCACTCGGAGCTTCATTGAGATTGTATATTTGGGACTGGATGCTTGGTCTTTTCCTCTTATCCAATATCCATTGGGTGGGTGCTATCGCAAATGGAGCTGTCAGATGAACGCCGCTCACTTTAACGTTAATTTTGCCGAATCACTGTGCCTATCACTGGGCGACGAGCTGTTATAATATGCTGAAAGCGTTATGTAAATAATACATACAATGCGTAATCAATATATCTTATTTCTAAGACAACAACAAACTCACCTCTGGTGTCATTCCCTCGCTGTAAATGCTAGCGCTCCCGGTTTTTTCTGCCACCTCCCTGCGCGCGCATCCTGAATGTTTACAAACATGGTAATTGGTCTATAGGTGGGCATTTCAGATACAGCCTGAAGGCCAGTGCACACCAGGATGCTTTTTTGTTCGCGTTTCGACGTCAAACACCTCGTGACTAAATAAAACGCCAGGCGTAAGGACTCGTACATACCGGGAAGCTTTTCGTTTGCGTTTATTGTCAGCGTTTTTTTTAGACGTTTTTCCGGATTCAAACTGGCGTCGAGCAGAAGAGTATGCAAAATCACTCCTTGACGTTAGATGGCGTTACACAACTTTTAGCTTCTGACATCCGCTTGTAACACAGAAGAAGGCAGAAAGTTGACACGCTTGTTCGAACAAGCATGGATGGTTCAAGTAGCAGCTCCAGCTCTAGCGATGAAGAAATGGTTATTGTTCACCAGGGCAATAAGCACACTGTAAAAAATAAATCCGTAAAATTTACGGTAAAAGCTGTGGTTGCCAGTACTTTACCGTTAAAAACACGGTACAAACCGTAAAAGTAATTTCTTATT